CCCACTCTTAAAGGTGAAACTGATCATACTTTGTGAAAGGAATGACACGTTTTGCCTATTCCTAAGCATTACCAATCTACGTCAGTTGATGACTTTCGTCCAATAAACACCATCCCCACAATTTCGAAAATCTTCTAGACATTGATCAAAGTTATGATGATGTTTTAGTTAACAAAGAATAATCTACTGAGTGCTGCACAGCATAGATTTCTCAAAGCTCGGTCTTGTAGCCCATGCCAGCTCTTCTTCTTTGATCATGATCTATAATCTGGCAACAGTGGTTTTGTACAGAACAAATAAATCATGTTCCTTTTCAACTGGCGTCCCGCTTCTTCCAACATGGGATATGGCCTGAAGTTGTGGCCTACTGAGCATACACCATCACCGCTTAGCCGCTACAAATTGGTGACGAGCCCGACGTGATGGAAATGCAACCGCAAAACCCGACAGAACTCCACCGTCACAAAGTTCTCACTCGACTTCACTCTGCTGTTTTTCCTGTGTCACTCATCGAGTCCACGGATAGGAAAAACGCAACTGCCTACACCCATTTGCGAGTCGAGAAGAAACTTACCATCAAAACGGAGTCGTGCAATGCCAGGCCAAACCCCATCCAAACTAAGTAGAGCAGAGCTCCAACTGTGTTGCCATTCGAACACTTCTCTCCTGTCCAAGACATCCTTCCGCCCATTACCAACCAGACCATCGTTCGTGAGTTACTTTCATACACTCAACATGCTACCGTATGTACAGCGATGAAATTTCACAATTTCGACACTGCATTCTCTCCCAGTTTTGTGTCTGGACGTCAGTGAACCTATTTCACTGATGCATTCGTCCGACTCAGCACTCACTGGGATACCTTGTGCCCGTAAACTTCTTCCGTCTCATACCAACGTGCCAAATCACCGACACACGTTATCGGGACCACGCCAGCACACCCAGGGTCGATGCCTCAACTGCACCTCTGTACAGGTCACAGCATCCCCATTATACGCGGTTCGAGCTACACCTGTCATCATCGAAACACGCTTGTGCCGAGGCGCCAGACTATTTTGCCTTTCCCTACCTGTTCCTCATTCTTGAACTTACTGGTTGTTTAACTGAATGGAATGAACACAACTCGACGCGACGCGCTTGGCATGAGTGGGATGGTCAGGTCGTTTGACTTTTGATCATTAATTCTTCCATAACTCTGGTCTTATCCTGATTTTTATAGTCTGGGATTGACGGTTCTGTCTTTGACGCACGCTACAGTGGTGACCCCTTGACGTTCACGCTTATACCTTTAATTAGTCGACTTCCAATTTGCATACCGCCCGTTTGCCTTCTTTCTTTCTACAATCATGTCCTCTACGAATTCCAATGATCCCACTTCTTCTCTCAGTGGACTTGTTTCTTCCCTCCCAGACTTTTGGCAACATGCGCCAGAGCTTTATTTTTTCCGTATTGAGGCGACTTTTCACTCCGCAAAGATAACACGTGAAACCGACAAGTTTTATAAGCTGGTCGAGGCCCTCCCTCCCACCGTTCTTTCTCAAGTGCAAACGCTTCTGAGAGATCCCCCGACTGATGCTCCTTACACCAAGTTAAAGGCTGAACTTCTTCGCCTGACATCAGTCTCCGATCGGCAGCGTTATCACGCACTAGTAAAAGAGGAGGCCTTAGGTGATCGCAAGCCGTCGGAACTCTTGCGTCGCATGCGTTCTCTGGTTGGGAACATGAAAATCGACGACAAGTTCTTTAAAGAGATGTTCTTAGAACGTCTGCCGATGTCTGTACAAACAATCTTGGCCTCTGGCTCCGACGACCTAGAAATATCAAAGTTAGCGGAGATGGCTGACCGTATGATGGAGGTTGAGCGTTTGTCATCCCCGACGATTGCTCAGGTGTCCCAGCCTCTCAAAGTGTCCACTTCTGACCTTGCTGAACTAAAGACGCAGATTGCCCAGTTGTCAGCGACTGTTGCCGCTTTGCAGCTGCGCCGATCCATCGGTCCCTCTCGACGTCCCTTCGGTCGTGACCGTCGTCGTTCACGCTCTCGCCCCAGGACCGCCAACCTATGTTGGTATCATGTCAACTACGGCGATAAGGCGCGGCGCTGTGTCCCACCCTGCTCCTTCAAGTCCACGCAGGGAAACTCCTCGGCCGGAGAGTAAACGCGGCCGAGCTCTCTGGCAACTCTACGGGTCGCACATTTTACGTGAGTGATAACACGAGTGGCAGGCATTTTTTAGTCGACACTGGCGCTCAGATTAGTGTTATCCCTCCCACGCCAGCCGACCGACGTTGCCCAAACCATGGTCTTTACCTTCAGGCCGTAAACTCATCCCCCATTACAACCTTTGGATTTCGATCCCTCTCCCTGTATATCGGCCTCCGGCGATTATTCCCCTGGATATTTGTGGTTGCTGATGTTCCCACTGCTATCCTTGGTGCTGATTTTTTGGCCGCCTTTGACCTTCTGGTGGATTGCAGACAACTTCGCCTCCATGATCGCGCAACTACCCTCACTGTCAAAGGATTTCCTCCATCCTCCGTTTCTAAACAGCTCTCCGTCCTTGACCCAAACCCTGACTGTCCATTTCGTAGACTTTTAGCAAAATATCCTACCCTCACTAAGCCCCATTTTTCTGACACCTCATTTCCCCATGATATTGTTCATCATATAAAAACGACTGGTCCTCCCGTTTTTTCTCGTCCCCGCCGTCTTGCTCCCGCGCGTCTTGCGGCTGCTAAAGCAGAATTTGACCACATGCTGCAACTAGGGATTATTCGACAGTCTGACAGTCCCTGGGCATCTCCTTTGCACATGGTTCCTAAACCAAATACGGATGATTGGCGTCCTTGTGGCGATTATAGAGCCCTAAACAATATCACTATGCCCGATCGGTACCCCGTTCTCATCTTCAGGACTTTGCTGGAGCCCTTTTCGGCAAAACCATTTTCTCGAAGATCGATTTGGTGCGGGCTTTTCATCAAATTCCGATTGCGGCTGAGGACATTCCCAAAACGGCAGTGACGACTCCTTTTGGCTCGTTCGAGTTCCTTCGTATGCCATTTGGTCTCCGAAATGCCTCACAAACTTTCCAACGTTTCATTGACCGTGTTTTGCGCGGCCTTCCATTTGTTTATGCATATATTGATGATGTTCTCGTCGCCAGTCGAGATGTGGAGGAACATCTCCATCACCTTACTCTGCTTTTCGACCGATTTCAGCAGTTTGGTGTCACCCTGCATCCTTCCAAATGTGTCCTAGGAGCCACTTCTCTTGAGTTCTTAGGTCACCTGATAGACTCAAACGGTATTCGGCCTCTTCCCTCAAAAGTTGCCGCCATTCGGGACTTTCCACCCCCTACCTCGAAGCGTCAGTTGCAACGGTTTCTTGGTATGGTGAACTTTTATCGCCGGTTTCTCCCGAACTGTGCCGATACCATCCTACCTCTGACCGATCTCCTCTCAGGTCCCAAACGCACCTTTGAACTTACATCAGCCGCACTCACGTCATTTGAGCAGGTAAAAGACCTTCTGGCTGACGCCACCCTCCTGACTCACTTTCACGCTGATGCACCCATATCTTTGATGGCCGATGCCTCCAATGTTGCTGTTGGCGCGGTTCTTCAACAAAGTCTGCCGGATTCTACCGTGCCTTTGGCTTTCTTCTCCAAGAAACTATCCAAAGCCGAAACCCGCTACAGCACATTCGGACGGGAACTTCTCGCCGCTTATCATGCCGTAAGGCACTTCCGGCATTTACTTGAAGGTCGAGAGTTCACCATTTTCACTGATCATAAGCCACTCACGTTTGCGATGCATTCCCACTCTGACAAGCTAAGCCCCCGGGAGATCCGTCACCTGGACTACGTTTAGCAGTTCACTTCAGACATCCGCCATATTGACGGGTCAAGGAATGAGGTGGCTGACGCACTGTCCAGGCCCTCTATTGCTCATCTTCAGCTTTCACCCGGGATAGACCTCGCTGAGATGGCCGCTGAACAACACCGTGTCGGTCCACCCTGTGATGAGGATGTTTCCGGACTCCAACTCCAGGAACTACCACTGACG